GAGACTTACCGGCGCATGCGCAGCACTGACCTCATACGTCATCAGCCCGGAGCTGCTTCCAGTGTACAACAGTGAGCGCAAGCTAGATTAAAGTGATTATTACGTTTTGAATATGTATCGATTCGCTACAGAAGGCCTTTGTTCACCCCCCGGAGCCATCTGAGACATTTTTTTATGGATGGGCGCTTTTTATTTAACTTCTTTTTAACTTATGCATGCAACACCTGCTGAGTGCCATGAAACAGCTTGAAAGATCAAAGACAATTTTTTATATAACTCCGACTGGATTCGTTTCCCTCCATCCCTGCATCGCTCCTGGCTCTCCCTGTCTCTTCTCTTCCTCCAGGATAATGTATGCTACATACACCAGCAGCTCTTTATTGCGTGAGGGAAGAGCACTGGAGTTGCGTACAATGACAAACATTTTGTTCCTTAATGTGCCATAGAGCAGACTGAGATCTTTCTCTTTATTGACTAGTTCGATGGGATAGTCTTCTTGATCCAGAGCTTGATGCTCCTTTTGAAACTCCAGGCATAGTGACAGTAGATTCACGTAGGCCTCCTCTAAAACTTCCATATCTATCAGTTTGTTAATCTCCATTACTGCAGAAAATAACAGAAAAGAGGAGAACAAAAAGAAAAATATTATAATACAGATGACTACATGAGTTGTGTTGGTTGTGAACGGTAGTGTATATGTGGATTGTTGTTCAGCATGACGTGGTTATACACCATATAAACCCATTTTAAACCGCATTTTTATAAAGTAAATTTTTGCATGCCTTTTTATGACCTCATTTCAATTCAGAGAAGATACACTGCTTGAATTCACAGGAACCCAGAGAAAAAATGGTAAAGGTGGGCCCCATACTGTGTAAAGACCCTTGCTAAGAGCAAACTTTTTAAAGGTGATATTTAGGAAAGTAAATATAAATTGAGTACCGCAAATTAGGGTTGCTGCGATAGACGGTGTTGACGGTTTTACTGGTGTGCGGTTATGTCACTTGCCCACCGCGGCACCGCCCCCACCGTCGTTTTGATTTCTTAAAGTAATAAAAATCATTTAGTTCAGTTAGAGAACCGACAATAGGCTACAATTAAACTGAATGCGGCTGCTCAACGCAGCGTGCCAACAGTCGCATGAGGAGAAGCTGACAAGAAGAGTGAGGTGAGACAGACAAGACGATGGCAGAAGAGTTTCAAAATGACATGCAAAAGCGCCTGTTTTTAAAATATTTTGGATTTTGAAAAGCCTGTTGACTTCTGCCATTTCTCTAAGGTGATATTGGAAGTTTTTTTTTACATTATTATTTATTTGGTTCCACAGTGTTTGCTGATTTTTATTTATTTAAACTGTGTATTTTTTTTTACATCAAGTATGCCGTGTCTCCAAGCTTTCTTATTCGTTTTTGCTAATAACGTACGTTTCTTATTTATTTGGTTTCACAGTGTTTACTGATCTTCAGTTTGCTACCTAAACTTTGTGTAAGTTATTTGTTATTTTATATTATGCATATAAGCATGGTGTTTTATTCATTTTGTTAATAAAAGTTCTATGTTCTACGTTGTATTTTGTTGCTTGAATTGAATTCAAGCAATTGACGCCGAATTGCCGCTAATTTAAAAGTGAAAGTAAAATGTGCACCGCGTTTTTAAGCTATTTAAAAGCGAATTAAAGTGAGGAAAAGAGGGAAAACTCAAACAAACTAAACTGCCGCTAATTCGAAAGTGAAAGTAAAATGTGCACGGCGTTTTTAAGCTATTTAAAAGTGAAGTAAAGTGAGGAAAAGAGGGAAAACTCAAACGAACTAAAAACAAACAACTGCTTGACGCCGAATAGACGCAAATTTGAAAGTGAAAGTAAAATTGTAGAAGCTTTTACAAGCTATTAAAAAACAGAAGGAAAGCAAGGAAAAGAGGGAAAACTACCCCCCCCCAATCCACCCACGGTGATACCGGTATTACCGGTGTTGTCACACGTCGATTAGCTGGTGGGAAAATCTCCTCACTGTCACAACCCTACCGCAAATGACCCAAAAGTTATTGGTGTAACAAAAATATGAACCAGTCCAAATATCTAAAACATTCATTTAAATTTTTATCTGAAACCATGATGTTTATAAATCCTTTGTCAACTGCAAAGGGACATGCACTCACACACTCACCTGACAAAGGCACAGGTGGTATCTCTGGCAGAGTATATGTGTCTCTGAGCTCCAACACTGTATCTATGACCTCTGTCTGCTCTTCAGATGGAGTCATGGCCTCTGTGACAGGTTCAAGTGGTTCTTGTTTGTGTTTTTTACTACCCAGACCCAAACTCTGCCTGATCGATGCCCCTCTCCTTGCCAATGAACCTGTTATTTCAACTGCAGAATCTGAGAATAACACAAACGGTTACTGGAGATGATTTATGTCGATTAGCCGGTGGGAAAATTTCCTCACCGTTACAACCCTACCCTAATGACCCAAAAGTTATTGGTGTAACAAAAATATTAACCAGTCCAAATATCTAAAACATTCATTTAAATTTTTTTCTGAAACCATGATGTTTATAAATCCTTTGTCAACTGCAAAGGGACATGCACTCACACACTCACCTGACAAAGGCACAGGTGGTATCTCTGGCAGAGTATATGTGTCTCTGAGCTCCAACACTGTATCTATGACCTCTGTCTGCTCTTCAGATGGAGTCATGGCCTCTGTGACAGGTTCAAGTGGTTCTTGTTTGTGTTTTTTAGTACCCAGACCCAAACTCTGCCTGATCGATGCCCCTCTCCTTGCCAATGAACCTGTTATTTCAACTGCAGAATCTGAGAATAACACAAACGGTTACTGGAGATGATTTATGTATTATGTATAACATTCAACTGAGCAAATGGTAGTTAAAAAAAAATCAACATGACCATGTAATATGAAAGCTCTTTTTACTTAACCAGTAACTTATGCAGTGAGCTATTTACCCTACATTTGACCCTTTTAGTGAATGAACATTTGGTTCTACTACAGATCTCTAAACAATTAGGCTACACACACCTCACATACCATAAATACCATGATACCTGCATGTAAATTATTAATGTGAGATCTCCTTCAGACTGTGCAAGAAGCTCAACTTCTTCAATCACAAACGAGAGTGATAACAATTCTAACTTTCTCATTCTGTCTGAGAAAATAACTGTTTCAATTTAAAGTGTTCAATTTAAAATCTAAAGTGAAGTAATTTCACAATACGGGTCCCAAACTTAATAGATTAACCTCACATATGGTGAATACTGGTAAAATAGGACACTTCAGAAAATTTTACTTTTACTGCAATTTATCCTGACATTACACTTTTATTTAGACTATAGTTAAAAGTAAAAATTAAGCATATTGGAAAGAAGAAAATTCAAAGCCCTCTCCTGACCAAACCCCAGATTTTCAGGCAATACTGGTCAAGTGGTTAACTGGTTAAGTTGACTGGTTAATTAAGTAGGACACTTCATTTTCCTGACCTTGTTTTATTTTTTTTTAGAGTTTTTGTTCTAAAAAAAAAATAGACCTACACAATGATTCAAATGTTTACTTATTTCATCTTCATAACTCCAATTTTGCCATTCCATTCTGAAGTAGCCAACATGTCATTACACTGAACTTACACATTTGTTAATACACTCTACACTGCACTCCACTGCCATTTAAACAGGTGTATTGCTGTATAAGTTAATCATAAACGTCTACATTCGATATGCTGTCCCACTTTAAATTATTATAACCTCGGTTTATTTCACCAAAGATGACAGGTTGGAAGAAGTCTCTTAGTTATGGAAATATCTCCTTTTAAAACACCGAAAGCAACACCAGTAGTGGATAACTATGGTAATTTGAAGAAATTACACCATGATAAATCTTTGTAAAGGGCTGAAATGCGAAACACTACAGGCAGCGTTTTCTCTCTGAACTAGATTACACTACGCCTTCAGTGTGTCACGGACAACATCTCAAAGAAATTCGTTACAATGATACATTACAGCAATGTAACATCAGTTTTTATACCACTCTGAAGCTTAAATCTCTGTTATTAGCACATCCACGGCAACCTGGATTAAAGGTAGTGGAGTAGGTAAGGTCAGTCACTTTTAACACGTTCAAAGGTCAGTCATTTATAACATGTTAAAAAAACGTAGCTATTATTATTAATAAAATTATTTTATAAATATGTTTGTAAACATCGCACGGTAAATCGATGCCCGGACTCACCTGAGATCCGATTTCCTTGTCAAAGTCTGCCACTCGCAATTATCTGTCACTTTTCACATAAGCTATTGCAAAACAAACAGCTGGCAAACGCGCTGCACCGACAGGTTTAACCGCAAGATGTATACAGAGCTGCAAAAAACCCTGGTTCACACAATAGAGCCTCTGGTATTCACCTTCAAACGTCACTGAATAGGTGCACTGGGGCGCTCTGGTACAGGAACTATAGCTTCAGATTTTAGTTTCAGATTCACTATAGTTCTAGACAGAGTTGATTACACATCACTTTCTGATTCCCATAATCTATGGAAATACAATTGTGCCTACTACTGAGAAAAAAAGTGGTTATGCCAAGCATCATGCGTTTCATTTATGAGCAAAGTAGCATATTCACAATGTGTCATGGGGACTATGTTAATGGCACTTTCTGTTAATTTGTAACTAAATGGATGTGTAAACATTAATGTTTGTTTTTGTCAGATATTAGCTCAATGACAGGAACAAGACGGAATAGGAATACTGCAGCAACGTCAAGTTTATTGAACCAATGGGAGGATTAGGCAGGTGAGCATTGACTTGGATGAAAAATTGTGGATGGAATAAACTGAATGATAACTTGAATCTTATCTCTTGCAAGTGCACAGTGTCTGTGTCCTTGTGTGTGTGTGTGTGTGTGTGGATTCTGAGAACTGTAGTTTTTTTTTTGTTTTTTTTTGACGTGACATGTGGCCAAGTATGGTGACCCATACTAGGAATTAGTGCTCTGCATTTAACCCATCCTAAGTGCACACACACAGCAGTGTTAAACCTCTTAAATCAATTTTTTAAATAATTTTCAAAGTTTTTAAATTCCTTGTTTTATTGTTGTGATTATTGTTTTTATTTTATTTTATGTAAAGCACTTTGAATTACCATTGTGTATGAAATGTGCTATACAAATAAACTTGCCTTGCCTTGCCTTGTGTGTGTGTGTGGATTCTGAGAACTGTAGTTCGTGACAAGGAGTGACAGTGTTATAGATTTCTTTTGGCTGCATGTTTTTGTTTGGCATCTGAAGTAGAGCAAATGCAGTTGTTCATGTTGTTGGAGACTTGTATTATTATTCCCTGATCTAATAACCTATTCTTCCATTGATAAAAGCACTGGTTTTCATACCTAAATGCCATATACATGTCTTTTCAAGGATAGATGAAAGTGAAAGTTATTTTCCTGGCTTATACTGTTGTTAGAAAACACTCTCTGTCTTGAGAATGCCTCACCCCTCCTTTCTTTCCCTCTCTACATCTTACTTACTCCTCTTGTGTATGTCATCCTATCCTCATTGGTTAAGAGGGTGAAACTCCCCTCGACATATGCCTATATAAGATCTGTATTTCTATGAATAAATTGAAGTATTGAGAATACCATTTGAATGTGTGTTTTCTTGCTTCCCGGCCGTATATCTACACTTTAAGGGACTGAGAAGTTTTCAAGGTGGCAAAGAGAATCTATAGGGACCGATTGTTAATTTCTAACAACTGTATATACAGCTGCTCTCAGAAAACGAGACATTCCCTGAAAAACTTTCAGGTGAGAGCTACACATTATTTACTTAACATGCTGTATACTTTTCTAAATTTTGGTTGCAGAAAATATTGAAAAGCAGCTCATATTTTATAGGTAACACTAAAGTCATTTTATTTGTCAGCGAGACTGAGAGTGAATGTAAAAGGAATAACAACCCTTTATATTATTTTTCACTTATGTTTTTAATATTTACTGTATATTATTATCATAATTCTTCCTTGTTACTGTACTGTACTACTATTGCTATAATTCATTTTAAGGATAGCTTCTCGCTGGTGAGTTAGAAACTAGGAAGAGCCAATGTTTGTTTTTAGTGTAAATGTTATACCCCTGAAAAAGGGGAGATAATTAATCAATCATACTCCACGATGCTTCTCCAACGTGAACTTTATGCATGATGGAGAAACACCACGAGTTCTCCCCTTAGTGTTCGACAAGGCGCCACTAATAGATTGCACAACTTATTGGACTAAACTAATTGATCACAGATTAATCAACACTATTAATTAACATATTTGCATTTGATGAACCTTTTTAAGCGGATTCAAAATAGCCTGAATATAGAATACTTTCAATGTTTTACAGATTTATAAATTTTTCAATACAATTATACAAACATATATTTCAATCTGTCAAACACTCCCCCACAAAAACAAATGTCGTCTCGACATTATCTATCTTTTTTTAAACACAAGTCTTTCAGTTCCTATTGTGTTTCACACAAATCTTGTAGTGTCAGAGCTCTTGTAACCGTTTCAGTATTTTAACAGTCGATGGATTGTCCTGAACTTAATAGTTCACTTTCTAAATCGAAGCAACAGTTTATGAAAAAAAAAACAATCCATAAGTGTCTCAAAGTTCAAAAATGTAAAGAGGTAGGGAAAAAAAGTCCGTAATTTATTTGGATTTCAAGAGTCCAACAGCCTCTCAAGACGACAATCCATAAGGCATACAGTCCATTATATTCCCTTTCGATACTTCACTCGTACTGCGTCACTAGACGCTATGGGGAAAAATAATTTTTTCTCCTATACTGAAGCCTTTTTTTAATAATACAGTGTAACTGCACGGCCATTGGCTTGTGCAGTGAATAAAAAACTAACCAATGGCGAGGCAGCGGAGCTGCACGAACCTATGGCCATGAAGCCCGCCAGAGCCCGCCAATATGGGCGGGGCCATCTGGCTATATAAGCGGGCATTCTGGCATAGGATCCTCAGATTTCTTCTCCTTCAGCGACGACGATGGTCTTTGCTGATCTATGAGACTCAAAGCCTTCTCGCCGTAGACACGACTCGCAGCGGAACAAGCCAGCCAGCGACCTCTCTGCTCGGCTGATTCACTGCTTCTTCCTGCCGCCTTCAGCGTCGCAGCAGCAGCAGTCATGGTTTTTCCCCTGCCGCCATCCGGCGAGCATAAAAGAGCAAGAACACGAATTGTTCTCACTGTGAGAACATGAGTCTCGCCACTCTGCGCTCGCAGATAGCTTTCTTTTCAGAGAGCGACTCTGCCCCTCGCGCCCTCCCGATTTCTTCCTCCCAGGGACCTGTGAGGAAAAAAACGGCGGGGCAGAGGATCTCAGCGCTTGGAGACAAGCGGCTCAAGTCCCGCGTGCCTTGTGCTCCCTGCACAGAGAGGCTTCCCCCGTCCTCTTCACTCAGTTAGACCAGCGTCCCTCCGCCAGCGTGAGCGATCTGGTCTCGTTCGATGGGAGTGACGACGAGCTGCTCGATGACAGCATGTCATTAGCAGCCTCGGACGAAGAGGGCTAGTTAATGACCCCGCCCCCTTGCCGTCATCCCAGCCTAGCGACGCCAAGCCCAGGATGGACACCAAACTTTTCCGCGTCCTCTCGAAAGCGGTCAAGGAGCTGGGATTGGAGTGGTCTTCCCCAGTAGAGCCCACTCACAGCCGCCTGGACGAATGGTTCCTGACAGGGCGCTGTCAGGAAAGCTGCTCACCCTTCTAAGCTGTGCAGAACAACTTCTGCCCTTGCTGGAAGAGTCTACTCCTCGGCCGGGCTGGAGGCCTCTGCACTTCATTCAGTGGCGGTCCTCCAGGTCTTTCAGGCCAAACTCCTCTGCTGCATGGACGAGTCTGGACCAGATCCCACAGCTTTCAAGGAACTGCGCAGTGCGACCGACCTGGCCCTACGCACCACAAAGACCACGGCTCAGGCGATCGGCAGGTCAATGGCCAGCTTGGTGGTGCTTGAGCGCCACTTATGGTTGATCTTGACAGAGATTAAGGAAGTGGGTAAAGTCCCCTTCCTCGACTCCCCGGTCTCTCCTACTGGCCTGTTTGGACCTGCAGTCGAAAGCTTTGCTGAACACTTCACCGCTGCACAGAAGTCGCCCCAGGCAATGCGGCACTTCCTGCCAAAGTGCTCTAGCTCTGCTGCTGCTTCTAGTTGCCCCAAGTCTGCGCCGACCCAGCAGCCCGCGAAGCCTGCACCTCTTACAGTGCATCCTGCACCCAAGCCTGAGCCTCGACAGCGCTCCCGCTCGGCGAAAAGCTACCCGTTTCCTAAGCGTCAGGGCCCCTGGCCCAAGATAGCACTGGATCCAGTGCCTCAGGCGTCATCCTGATCTAAAGGACAGGAAAAGGAAGGGATAAAGTCTCGCTGAAGCCGGAACACCCCTCAAGCAGCCTCGAGTATTCCTCCAAGCACCCCGTTCAGTTTCAGGTGCCGAGATCAATGTGTTTGTTGTGAATGCTGGGCCCGTTTAAGCACCCACACACCTATCTGCTGTGATAGCGGGCAAAAAAAATACAAACATACTCAAAAAGAGAGCAGACTTCCTCTTCCGCTTATCACAAGTGTCCCCTCACAGGGACTTACTACTCAAATCAATCCAACCCCTTGTCACGTGGACCGAGGCCTGGCAGGCCATCCCTGGAGTGTCAGACTGGGTCTTGGGGATAATAAAATGAGGTTACTCACTTCAATTTGCTCGAAGACCCAGCGATTCAGCGGCGTGGTTCCCACCTCGGTACTGAGCAAAGATGCTCACGTCCTGTGCTCCGAGGTGATGAATTTACAAGCAAAAGGAGCTGTGGAGACAGTTCCTCCAGCCCAGAGCGAGTCAGCCTTTTACAGCTGTTACTTCGTCTTCCCCAAAAAGGATGGCAGCCTACGGCCCATCCTCGATCTCAGGCACCTGAACCGCGCCCTCATGAAATGGGCATTCAGCATGACTACATTGAAACAGATCCTCTCGCAAGTATGCCCAGGGGACTGGTTCTTTTCTCTGGACCTGAAAGACGCCTACTTTCACATCCAGATTCTTGAGATTCGCCTTCAAGGGAGTGGCATATCAATACACTGTCCTTTCCTTCGGACTGTCCCTGGCTCCTCACACTACGAAGTGCATGGATGCGGCTCTTTCCCCTCTGAAACAGATGGGAATTCTCATTCTAAATTACCTCGATGACCGGCTCGGTTGGAGGCCGAGCTACTATCTCACAGATCCCTCCCCCTCAGCCACTTTGAATGCCTGGGACTCAGGGTCAACTTTGCCACTCTATAGGTCTATGTAGCGGCTATAGCAGCTTCTCACGCTCCTAGAGCTGGCCAATTGATGGGCAGGAACAACTTAGTTGTCTGCATTTTGAAAGGGTCCAGGAGGCTGAACCCGCCTTGCCCCTTTACCGTCCCTACATGGAAGCTCTTAAGAGCCCTCCCTTTGAGCCGCTACAGTCAACCGACCTTCGGCTCCTGTCGCTGAAAAACGCTCTGCTACTGGCTTTAACATCGGTCAAGCGAATGGGAGACTTGCAGGCACTCTCTGTGAGCCCTACCTGCCTTGAGTTCGGGCCCAGCGACTCCAAGGTTGTCCTGAAGCCAAGGCATGGTAATGTACCTAAACTGCTCTCCACTCCGTTCAGAGCACAGGTCATTACACTCTCTGCGCTTCCTCCCTCAGAGGAGGACCAGGAGTTTTTCTTGGAATGATTGCCCAGGCCAGGCGTGACCTCTGTGAGTTTAGCCCGTTTGTCACACGAAGGGCTTGCCCTATTATACTTGTCCCTGAGCTCCTTGGGTGCTTAAGGAAAGTTCACATTTCAGCCGTTCCTCTTTCATAGCACGGTGTGATTGTACTGGTCTCCCATAGCATCTAGCGACACAGTACGAGTGAAGTATCGAAAGGGATCGTACTCGGTTATTAACGTAACCTCGGTTCCCTGAGATACAGGAATGAGTTCTGCATTGCTAGCCGTGTTATGGAGCTGCACAACTCAGTGTTGTGGCTTCAGTCGAAGTAACCTGAGGATCCTATGCCAGAATGCCCACTTATATAGCCAGATGGCACCGCCCATATTAGTGGGCTCTGGCAGGCTTCATGGCAATAGACTCGTGCAGCTCTGCTGCCTTGCCATTTGTTCATTTTTTATTCGCTGCATGAACCAATGGCTGTGCAGTTACAATGCGTTATTAAAAAGGCTTCAGTATTGGAAAAAAAAGGATTTTTCCCCATAGCGTCTAGCAACGCAGTAACGTAACCAAGGTTACGTTAGTAACCAAGTACGTTCTCCAGATTTCAGACTTTAAGAATGCAAAGAAACCTTTGATTTCACTTTAAGTTCACAGTCTCATAGCAAATTTAACAGTTCATGAGGACTCCATACACAAAAGGCAGATGATAACAATATTGCTAAACAGGTGGCAACCATGTCGATAGTCCATGAACAGACACATACGGTAAGTTCTGTTGCGGTGTCTGCAAGATTCCATTTAACTGTCCGACATTATAAGCAATGTTCCCACTAATTTTTTTCGGCACTGAGCAAGTAAATATTTCTCTGAGCACAAACTTTAAAACTGTGAGCAACTTGAGCAAAAATCTTTGGTGATGATATAGTCTACTCAAAAAGGGCATGTTAACTATGCTATAGTTTGATTGATGACTTAGTCCCTTCTATCAACTGTTTAACAGTAACTATGATAGTACAATATTTTTAACAAAACACATTTTATTAAACCACATTTTAATAAAACTATATACACAACAACATCATAGTGCTTCATCATCAGTCCTTTCTTGACTGGCCCTGCAGGTCTGTGGAAGGCCTCTCTCAAAACACAGATGCACCACAATTAAAAAAAAATCTGCCTGTTTTATTTCAGCGATTATAGACATTGTTTAGGTATGCACTACCCTGTTTGTGCTTATTTCTGCTGGTGTGTACTAATACACCAAAATAGTAATCTAACCTTTAAAATAGTGTAAAGCTTTAGTCAACTAATTAATATTTTATATATTATAATTGTAACGTAGTTCGTAGTTCGGGAAGAAGGAGGCGGGAACCGGCGAACATTTAAACAATTTAATAAAATAAACAAACACAAAACGAAAGTAAAGCGGCAGCCCCTCGCGGACGACTGCCGCCATTAAAAAGTGAGGAGTTCACTGAGCTTGTACAGCTGATTGACATTTGCAGGACATTCCAAGCGTCTAGTGTAGACTGTGAACGCGGTTTCAGTCTGATGAATCATATCAAGACAAATTCACCTAACCGACTTCAGACCACCCACTTGAATCAGCAGATGAGAATCTAGTCTGCACAAGCAGAGGGCCCTATAAATTTGGACAAGGTCTACAAGCACTGGAAAGGGGACAAGGACAGACGGGAGAGGTTTTAAGGTAGGCTACAATATTAATAAATACATCAATAATAACAGTTTATTCAGTTATTATGTGCAATGTGTTTGACTTGGACAATATTTTTACTCTTTACTCGAATAACAATCCCCCACTCATCACAATAATATTTAAGGATTATTAAAATTGTTATTCGAGTAAAGAGTAAAAATATTGTCCAAGTCAAACACATTGCACATAATAACTGAATAAACTGTTATTATTGATGTATTTATTAATATTGTAGCCTACCTTAAAACCTCTCCCGTCTGTCCTTGTCCCCCTTCCAGCGGTTGTAGACCTTGTCCAAATGTATAGGGCCCTCTGCTTGTGCAGACTAGATTCTCATCTGCTGATTCAAGTGGGTGGTCTGAAGTCGGTTAGGTGAATTTGTCTTGATATGATTCATCAGACTGAAACCGCGTTCACAGTCTACACTAGACGCTTGGAATGTCCTGCAAATGTCAATCAGCTGTACAAGCTCAGTGAACTCCTCACTTTTTAATGTCCAGGGGCCTCATGTATAAAACTTTCAAGAAGCACGTTATCGATCAATATTTTGATTTGTTCAGGGTTTGACTTGTTCCTATTGGCAAGGACAATACGTTCGGAGCTTCGGAGCAAATTTTGCAAACAACACCATTAGCTCCATAGCTGTGTGCGCGGTCTAAAATTGCGCTGCGCGGGACCTTCAGTTAGTCTGCGCGGCCCCGTACACGCGCAGCTTAGAGGGAACATTGATTA